AATTACTGTGCTCTCCAAATATATTAAAATTAATATTAAAACCCTCCATGCTGCTCTCAGACGGTAGAAAACGGAAGACAAGCAAACAGTTTGAAAAGCCAAACTGTATACAGTTAAATCGACCGGACTTCTTTCTGCAGATGTGAGCGTCCTTAACAACGGTCAATAAGTCCTTGACAGCGGTCTGTACTGCTGGATTAACAATGTGTCACGTGTTCTGAATTGACCAATCAGAATCGAGTATTCAACTAAGCCATGTAATAATGCTAATTCATGTTTCCAGTACACCTGTTCTTTAAAGCCTTTTTCTAATCAAAGATAATGCTGGGACACAAGTTCCAAAAGCTCTAAGTGTGTCTGCTGAGCTTTAAGAACATACTCACCTGCTGCTCAGGAGAAACTGTGTGCTTTTATACATTATTTACTTTTTATTTGTCAGTTTTCATTTGCAGGGTATGGTCTATGGCTAGTTTAGACCTGCCTCTCGTCACATTTGGGTTTTTTTCCTGTGAAATGTTCCACATAATGTTTTTGTTAAGGCTAGTTTAGGGTTTGGATATGGCTTGCTTAGTATTTTATGTTTGTGTTTATATCGTTTTTGTCTCGCTTTTTTGTTTCTCATGAGAATAAAAGTTTGAATCTACCAACAGAGTAGACGATGGGAAAGTTGGTTGGTGGGAAAGTAAAACCAAAAAAAAAGCACTTGTTTTTTATTCGAGTGCATTTTGCAAAACAGTGGTACGAATGCGAGGTTCACTGTTTATGAGAAGGGTTGCAGTTTTACACGAGAGAAGGATAAAGACCAAATGGTTGTTTATTCTGTGAAACGGTCCCCTCTGGGATTAGGTGCAAAGCTGCTTCCCTGAACTTTTTAGTGGGGAAGCATCGCGTCTGTTTTCTACCAAAGGTCAGACAGTCCTTAACTCTAGAGTTGTTTTTTGGCAAAATTCGGTGAGACCCCTAATAGTGGGAGTGAGACTTTTTTTAATTTTCTGCAGTGATTCACAAAACAATCTAATGTGATTTGAAAACATTTCATTTTTCAGCTTACTCTGAATCTCCTGATATACATAGCCCACTTAGAGTATACATTTGATACATTATCAAACCCATATTACATCTCTATTTCACCCATGTTACTCTGTTTCTACACCATTATTGCACCCAAATTACCCTCATAAAACACTAATATTAATTCCATATAACGCCAACTTTACATTGATATTACACTTCTATACACTGTTACTACACCGACATTACAATTATATTACTCCCATGTGAGACATTGACACAGCCTTTCAAACGACTGTATCCGGCAGGACACAGAAACCATTTAAGCATTTCACTTTTATAAAAACCACCTGAACTCCGTCACATCTAAAAGGAAAGTATAGTATGTGAGGGCCTTTTATGTTTTGATGCCGTTATCGAAATTACAAATCTACCAGCCTTTAGACAGCATTGACGCACCAGTAATGATGTGCAAAGCTGCTAGATCTGATCTCAGACCTCCCCTGGAGCTCAGCTGCTGTCAGTCAAGCCACGGGACTATACTAGAGAAGTCGACACAATGGCCCGCCTCTGCTTCATTAGGCTAAAGTGCTCTTGGG